GAGGCGGAAAGAGAAGTCATCGGGTGATGACTCCCCACACTTTCAGTCAGACGAGAGTTCGATTGAACACTGACTGAAAAGCCCGGCGAGGGCTGAAGCAAGGCGGTCGGTATTAAAGATGTATGTGTCGAAATTGGCTCAATGCAATAAACCCAGCATGTCGTCAAATGTTAGAACGCCAATCGTTAAATAGATGCAAGAAGCGAATGCTATATGCAGTGTGAGGTTTGCGAGAAGTCCAGACGAGAGCTTATCAAGGGCTGATAACATGTCTTCCGGCTTCAATGTCGGTGACCGGGGAGGCCAGAGACTCTCCCTCCCAAGTGTAATGGTCATCGACAGGGCTCAGGGAGCCAGAAGAGACGGAGGATGAGGATCCAACCGTCCATTCATCGCTGTCGAGATTGAAGTCGCCATCGAAACTAGCCAGGTCGTATCCATATGCGCGAGCTGAGTCACCGATCTCGATGTAGTCGTAATCCCAGCGGTAGGTCTTATCGCTCTGGACGCGCGGGAGAAATCGGGTCTTGGCGAAGTAGAACGCGACCGTGGCCAGCAGACCACCACCAACCAAGTCCACTGCATAGTGGTGCGACAAGTACATCGTCGCCCACCACATCCACAGAGTATAGGTGACGAACAAAGGCTTCAAGCGGGGGAAAACATGGCTCATGAACAAAGCGGCCAACGTTGAGTCCGCCGCGTGCAGAGAGGGAAAGGCGCCGAACACGACGGGAGATTGTCTGAAGCCCGAAGTGTACAGGTCGATTCCAAGGAGCTTGTCGATGCGGGCGAGACCAGCAGGGTTACCGGGCATCGAGTAATCGGCCGGTGCCAGACCGTACAAGTTCTCGTACCACGGAGGAGAGCATGGGAAGAAGAGCTGAATAGCAACTGCAGTCATGCTGATGTAACCAAAGGTACGGGCGAAAAGTGGAACGGTGCCCGGGGGACCGAAGATGAACATGATGAGCGAGCAGACGAACGGCGCACCGTAGTGGCACAGGCCGTAGGGAATCCATGCAAGCACATCAAGAACAACATTCTGGTGAGCAGACAGAATGTTGCTAATGTTTGCCCCATATAAGATATTCTCCAGGGCCGGAAGCACGCGGACCCAGATCGCAGGGCGCCAATCACTTGGAATGAACCTATAGCGGGAAAAGTCAGTCATTGTTCGCCGTCTGGTGGTGCCAGATGCAGGGCCAAGACCTGTAGGTGCACTTACTGGCAGGCGTAGAAGAAGATAAGCCAACCCGCGATGGGCAGGAAAGGAAGAAAGAATTGGCGGGTGATCGGGAGCAGCAGCGAGATCAGGAGTAGCGTGAAGACGGCTGTTTTGGCCAAGGGGCCGGGGGCACCCATCATGCTGAGGGAGAAGATCCCGATGATCAGCAAGAGCAAATACTGGAAGTCATATAGTGTCCACCGATGGCTTTGCAGTGACCGTAGGGTATCGACGGGCGAGAAGGAGGTCTGCAGTGTTGAAATCGATGAGGTCGGAGAAAGCCTGCTGCGCAGCTTCGAACGAATCTTCCGTCGCATGCGATGCGGGACCAGCAATTGTATAGAGCGCCATGGTACTTGGATCTGAAGCTTGCCGAACTGGTTCTGCGTGCGGTCCTTCCACGAAGGAAGGGAACTATTCATCTCGGCGGCTAGTCTCGGAACGAAGAGACTCTGTGGAATGGCCGAATGGATCTCTTCTGTGTTCGTCTAGCGAAGTTGCCAGAGACCAAGGCGCAAGTAAAGGATAGAGGTTCGAGGCGAAGCTGACGGGAAAGGGGAGGGGATGCCGTGGTGTTGTCTCGACGTCAACGTGACAGACAGGAGTCGAAGGGAGAAGGGACCCTGGAACAGAACGTTTCGATCGCTGCTGGTTTGCTCCGACAAGCGGAGAATTGAAATTGAGTTATAGCAACGACGTGGGGAGCGCGGGCTCCGGTCTCCAGCGGCCAAACGAGGATGTTCGGGGAGGTCACGTTGGCAAGGGCTTCTCTGACGCAAGGCGGACGAACAGTAAGGGCGATAGAGAGACAGTGGACCGAGAACGAGGAGATTAGTCGCGAGGGGCGCAAAGATGGCCGACGAACCGGAGGGATGGGAGGATAAACGGAGGAGAGAGTAGGAGAGAGACAATAGGTGAATAGGAAGAGAGGCAGAGAAGGGTTGTGGTAAAGAGGAAGAGAAGAGGAGAAAGGAAGAGGAGGAAACAATGAGACGGGAATCTGAGGATTTTGCAGGTGGTTTTGCTTTGGGGATGAGTAGTACTAGTAGTACTGAGTGAGCGAGCGAGCGAGTGAAGGTGAGACTGGGACTGGGACTGGGACTGGGACTGGGACTTGGACGGGGCGACGGACCACGACGGGTACGCCGTAAGGCAGTAATGTCGTACTCGTATTACCAGTTTGGCCCCGTATCATGTCGTCACCACTGGCCGTGTCCTAACACTTTCAAGGCGTTTAATTTTACCGCCCATACCCCTTTAGTGTTTAGTTTCGGTGGTCAGCCTCGGAAGTGCCTGAGAAACCAGGGTCGCTGCCTATTCCAAAAAGGAAAGAGAAAAAAAAAATCAACGCAGAAAATTTCTGCTCGGAAGACGGAGACCGCAAATACCGAACTACGGATCGGGGCGGGCTTACACCACCACAGCACCACCACAGCACGCCTCGACCAAAGCTACCTAATTGATTCCGGTTCCTGAATAGTCGCTCGTCATCTTCACAACCATCCAATTCAATATAAAATGAGCATGCGGAGAAGAAGTTGACGCGGTGCAGTAGGAGAGCTGTGCGCAGACAGGTATGCGACAGTTAGACACTACTATAACTCTGACTCTGGTCCCTTCTACGGAGTACTGACGATGGTCTGACTCCGATCTGTAGGTCTCAGATAGAAGTAAAGAAGCATTTTGCTTTGCTTCAAGAACAACAAGAACAACAAACCCAGCCATTCTCACCTCCTCCGCGATGCGCCCAACCCAGTGGTCCCCATAGATTCACGGCCGACCAACAGGAAGCAGTGGATCTCCCATCTCCAATTTCGCTTAATCCACAACGGTCTCACAAATCGGTCAAAGAAATTCACCGATTCCGCCTGCGGTCAGTCTGGTTGGTCACAATTGTTCCGCTTGGCGCATAATTACTGATCATTATTGATTTATTGATTATTTCCTCGTATGTTTGTTGAGGCCCGAGGATTATCCCACCCTTCCCCCATCCACATGTGTCTAATAATCAGGCACCAGATGGATCGGGCCCCGGCAATCCGGCATCCGGACCCAAAAAGATGTTGACAAAAGTCTCTCCTCTCACCGCAAGGCCTCGGTTGATGATATATGTAGATGCTGATGGACCCTACATAACGACAAGCACGATCTTAGGAGGCGGATAACCGGCTGGTTAATCTGATGGATAACGATCGGAGGACCTAACCGCCGGTGCTCCCGCGACAGGCCCAGGGCACAATGTGATGGATAGAGAATCCGCGGTCGTATTGCTTACCTCTTGCAGTAAGTTAACGAGGGCTCAGCTCGGACAATAGCCGCCGCAGCGTCCAGATTGATAGGTACATGTATGTGATGGGGTGGTTTTATGACGATCAGCCAACGAGACGACGAGATGACAGCTAAATACCTAGTACCAGAGCGAAGCAGCAAGAAAACTGCACCTCTTGTCTCTTTCCCAGCCACTTCCGCCCATTCAACTCGAAACAGTCGCCTGTCAGATTTGACCACGCGCCAGGTGCATCAAACCCAGATGACAGCTTTTGTTGCGTTTTCCCTGGTCGCATTGAGCCTCTCCAAAGCTGGGGAAAGGACAAAACAGAAGGATTGGTTGATTGCACAACAAAATCCCCAATCCTCCTGAATATCACAATTCGCAGCCCGCCCCTGAGCAACAAACAGCCTTTTCTCCTTCCCCTGATTTCGATCTATGAATTGGAATTAGGCAACATGGCAACAAAAGGGTCGAGGGCTGGAGAAATGATATGCAGGTCTAGAGTGTTTAAGCAACAGTCTAGTCACGAATTATTAGACACTTAGTCTCCTCTAGTTGAACACTCACCACACGAGAGCAAGCGGGATGGAGCGAAACGGAAGTTGCTCTTCTGAGCCCGGTGGATTACGGTCTGGTACGGTACAGCGTGTATACGATACATACCAATTCCTGTTCCCTTTCCCTTCCCAGGTCTCTCGAATGATCACCTCGTCCGGTCGTGCGGCTTGCCGTGATCATTCTTGCATCCGAGAGCATTAATGCACCCAAGCACGCGCCTGATTTGAAACTATCGTGTTTGTGATGGCTGCTTTAGTTGTTCAAGCTCATAGCAGCTGGATCAGCAGATTGGAGGGTCTGCGCTGCATTGACCCTGACTTAGACTTAGTTGGGCTGTGTTGTATATGGGCAAGGCAGCGTCATCATGACTTCCGCCCCAAATTAATCATAATGAGTTGTGCCTGCCCTGGCTTTAGTGCCACAGCTGCTGTGGCTACAGCTGCTACTGCTGCTGCTGTTGCTGCTCCTCATCGCAACGTTGTGACTGGGGGGCGCACGATCGGACTGCAACTCTCTCTCTCTCTCCCCAGGCTCTCTGCCTCATGCGGACGATTTCCCGATCCGCTTACTTAATGGTCCAGTACATTTCGGCTGATTCTCGCGATTCCGACCGGGGCTGGTACAAGTCCCAGTCACCTGGAATAGGCAAACTGCTCAGGCGCCAACAGGCAATGCTTTCTGGGTCTACCTAGCCAGATGCAGTATTCCCCATCATCCTCCATCTATCTATTCTTGTGTATTGCTTACTGAATAGAACAAAAGTGGCTGACGACGGTTACGCGTGGTGTTTGTTGCTTTCTTTGAAATTGAAATTAAAGGGTGAAGAAGGGAAATCCTGCAGTCCAAACCGACTATCATTTCTTTCTCCCCCAGCCTCAACAGGCAGCACTGCTTGAGCATCCATCAGCCTCGAATCTCCGTCGTACGGGAGCATTACACAACCCCCAACAACCTACTCCGTACTACATTTACACTAGATGAGCTGGGGCTTACACTGGAGCAAATTTCGGACCGGTATGTTCGATCAAAATTAACGGAGCCGATGTTGTTGCTGCTGCTGCTGCTGCTGCGCCTTACCTACGGGAGATTGTACTATACAATGCGTCGGATCATCAAAACGTGGTTCTACGGGAGATGATCCTTGGGGGGTTTCCCTCGTATTCGTTTTGCTCACGCTCCTCCCCTCCCCTCCCCCCTTTCGTTCGTCTGCATGCACCACAGAAGAAGGGAGAGGGGCATGTTTGATCCTAGCAAATCTAATACTCCGTAGGTAACGATGCCGAGCCCTTGACTATTGTTGCCTGTTGGCATGAAGAGTGGATTCGATGGGGACGGGGTGGTGGTGGTGGTGGGTACTGGGCTGTGTTGAAGGTCAGCAGAGAGAGCTTGGGCCAAGCAGGACAACGTTGTGGCTTGGAAAGCCGATCGCATACTACTCATAGTTATAGCATGTAATTTCATCCCTTTTGCAAGCCTGGAATTACTCGTACCTCTTTCTCGTAACGAACCAGAGGTACAGTAACAGGGTACTGTACCAGACTCAAACTCGTTGCATCATGGACGGTTGCTTTCGGGGCGGAACCAAGAAGCAGAATACGGGGAAGTGAGAGACTGATGAGAGAGCGAGGGTCATCGACATCATCGGACATCATCGAGTAGTTAGTGACGGTAGTGACGGGGCAGAAAACCCACTCCAGAGCGGGAGAGCCACAAAACAGCATGGATCGATCCCGGATTCGGATCGTTGCGCCTCTCCAGGTCGTCCTTCTTTCCTTCTAGAATCTCGACTCGTTGTTCATGATTGACATCAATGGTAGATCCCCCTACAACAAGATCTCCAAGTGACAGCAGCATCGCGGATGTCGAATCTGTTGGTTACGTTTTACTGCTCTCGACCTCACCGCTTGCCACAGCAGGAGTCACATACACTTATTAGTACTCGTATGAGTAGTTATGGGGGTGCCCCATGCATTATTGCATGGGGCTTCATCATGCAAGAACAAGACAAAAGCTGCAGCTCGCTCGATCACCTGATGCCCTCGTGCCCGTCGGGCAATCAGTAACTAGTGTACATACTTCAGACCCATCAGAACAATGAGGTCATACCGCATTGCCCTGCAGTAACGCTTTGTTTGAATGTTTAGCTATTGAATCCCACTGCCATTTCTCGCTTGTCCTCGGCCCAGCTTTGCCGGCCGAAAGAAGGGGGGGGGGAGGGGGGTCCTCCAGCATGTTGCATAAACCCTCATTTAACCTTCTCTCTCTCTCTCTGTATCGCTCTCGAAGATCACCTCCTTGTGCATATCACAATGCAGAAGTCAAAATGAACTCAAGACATTGATCTGCATTGTGCATTGGTACAAGTATAAGGTTCGTCAGTTTATGTGTTGTGAAGGTTTGATCTCTCCATCCATACAGACAATTTCGCATCCCCCTACCCCCTCCCTGTTTTGATTGTCATTCAATGGAAAAAATTAAGTATACTAGCAGCAACAGCAGCAGTGACTGCCCCCCCCCCCCACCCCCCTCCCACAAGTCCACTCGCAAAAGACAATCATAGATCCACACCGCCCAACACATCCAGTAATCACATACCAAGCCCCAAGCCCACATACATATACGTGGTACTCCATACTCGTACAATTCCGCCGAATACCTTTCCTACCCCACATTCTCCTAGACCTGATCGCCGGCCAGAATTCCTGGCAAGGCTGGAAGGGGCCGGGGGGCGTGAGGCTCATTTTTGAGGCGCCGGCTTGTGGCAGTGCACCCTCGTTTCGTGACGGGCTGGAATGTATGTACATACCTAGTTTCACACTTGCTGGGTGGTACGCTCTGTTGGCACAGCCGAGGCCAAGCGTTGAAGAATGTCATGCTCGGTGTGTACGAAGGTAGCCTGACGGGTCCTCTGTGGGCTGTCATTGGACTGGCTGCGCATGGTTTGGGGGGTGGTTCGTCGGAGTTATGCGATGTGTACGGTACAGTACCTAGGTAGTCATTGAGAATTCCGTGAGTGAGTATTGTATTGTGGAAGTGATGTGGAACAGGTTAGAAGCTTCATTTCGACCAGAGGGCTAGTGCTTTCAGGTACGGTGCATTGCCTTTTTTTTCTTACTCGGTGCCTTGCAAGCTGTGCTGGTGCGGGCTTACATTGCACTTGGCATGCCATATGTGACCAGAGTTGTCAATCTCCTTTATTTGTTCATTCTAATCACAAGAGCTATGTACTCGGTGTACTCTACTATCAAAGTCCATACTGACCAATGCCATAACCCATCTATGGAATCTACAGTCAGTCAGCCATAACCCGATATCATCCTATGCATGTTGAAATCCGCCCATTTTGTAGCCCGCTTGAACGCCCAAGGAAAAGAAAGACAGAAGTATCACGCCGACAGAAAGAGAGAGGAATCATTGGTGATCATGTTGTCCCTGATGAGCGTCTGCCAGCATCTGGAACCCCTTCACCAGTCCCATCGCTGACCCGGCCGCAACTCCTCCGACCAGAACCATCTGCAAGCCTCCGATAAGTCCTCGCCGAATGTTCCTGGATCCCTTCCACCCACTCACAAAGCACGTCTTGCCGTATCCGAACAGGAACAATGCGACCACCATCGTGGCGATCGACCACTGCAGGGCATAGAAGGCGCCATGGGGTCCGACAAAGAAGTACGGGAGGAGCGGCACAAACCCGCCGATGAAGTACCCTAAGGCAATGGTCAGGGCACACACCCAGGCCCGTGACCCCGACGGCTCCTGGACGGTATGATGAAAATTCATGAGAAAGGAAGGGAGCATGGGGGAGGTGGAGAGGTGTCGCGTGAGCTCCCCCACCAATTCGGAAGGGAGATCATAAGGCGCAAAGACATCGGCAATGGTGTCAGTCACTGAGGCGGGGTCATTCTGGATTTCTTTTTTGGTCTCTTTCAATGTTGCGCGATAAGACTCCCTGTCAAGAAGAAAAAGGGATAGACCCAAATGTTAGCTTGATGCTTTTTTTTTTGGTGGTCTTATCTTTTCGACGCACATCGAACCCCGCTTCAATCGCCTCCTCCCCGCCCCTTTCGCCCCCTCACACATTGACGGGAAGTAAATCACCAAAAAAAAAAGTGGGTACATTACTTACTCCTCACTCTTTGCACCCAAGTAACCGCCCAGCCCCATGGAGATAGCGCCTGCAATGAGCTCGGCCATGCCGCCAAAAACGACCACCTTAGTGTCACCCAGCGCTGATAAACCGGCGGTGAGGGCGAATGGCACCGTCATGCCGTCGGAGAGACCGATAATGGCGTCGGAGACGATGCGTCCGTCGATGAGTTTGGACTCTTTCTTCTCCGCTCCTTCCCGACATACTGAGCTGCTTGAGCCGGCTGTGGACTCGCTATCGCTCTCGTGTCGCAGGGAGAGAGGATATTCTTTTTCCAGGTCATGCTCTGGGGAGAATTCGGAGACGGGGGAGTAGCTGGATAGCAAGCCTTTGATTGAGGAGATAGACATCTTTGCTGTGTGTGTGCGTCTGTCTGAGGGCAGAGAAAGTTCGCTTCGAATTGAATCAATGCTGGAGATCTGATGTGATAGATTGTGGCCGGTGTGACAGAGGTCGGTATTAATATATCCACAAGGAGAGGATAGTCGCCGGGTCTTTGCTGAACTTGGAAGGTGGGCAAGAGACGAAGAAAAGGAAATTTTTGTGGTCCAGCTCCGAAAAGTGAGCGATAGGGGAGTAAATCAAGGCAATGCAATGTAATATCCTATGGATCAGAGTGAGCTCTGGCGAGATTAAACGTCCGGCCGGGGCCCGTCGGTCATAGATATGGTTTGAGCGACAGGCGTCAGTCGAAGCTGAGGGGAAAAGAGGAAAAGAGCATGTCTAACAAGCTGAAGGAAGAATACCCCTCGTGCCCATTATCATGCTCATCTTCCACTCACATTCAGCGAGCATCTGTAGTAGGCAAGGTGCCTGGTTACCTACTAGGAGTATCGGCGGCCATGTGCCGGTATGAGAAGGCCTATGGAAGGAGAGTGAGGGACAACGTGCCTCACAGTCTGGCGGTCATCTGCAGTCGCGGGGATGGCACGTGCAGTTCTGATTGGCCTCGACCCCCGGGACAATGCAGTCTTCGACCCACTGGGGCTGCGGAGTACCTGAAGCTTGGACCACTCTAGCCTATCACACTCGACTATTTCCTAATCGACGGTCTAAAGTGGATCTACTAGGACCACTTCTTCCACTGCCAGGTGCACTCTTCTAGACCACATCCATCCATCCATCCATCCATCCATCCATCGAGTCAAGTCGCATGCAGTTCTAATGCAATAAACAAGCACGCTGCAATCACGCTGCAATCACGCTGCCCTCGATGCGCGCTGCAGAGGACCAATTGCTGTACTACTACCCACTAAGCACGCACATTCTTGACCCTCTTCACCCTCTTCAACCCGTCCGTTCCTTGCAAGCGGGGCATTGAACCGGGCTAGAGTCGTCCTCCCAGTCTTCTCCTCCCGTGATCGAGACCAATCAATTGAGCAGCTGATGCACATCTCGCAATCGCGACCTCCAACTGCACGGTTCTGTGCTGTCCCACGCCTGTGTCGACTCTCACGGCCATCCCCCTCATTCTCCAACTGCAGCGGAGCGCATCCGGACCATACCTATCTATCTCCTCATTCTAGTTGCGAATGTGGACTGTCTCACGCGAGCTAGCAATCAACTCCACAGCGTGCAGTCCATTGTCCCGTGCCATTGGCCATGGTCATTCTCAACAATCATCGCAACTGAAAAGAAAGAGAAGGAAAAATCCTGTTCCTGGGACAAACCGGCACGACTTGCTCGAATAATGTCGCGTGTGGACCTGCCTATCTCCGCAGGATGTCGGTGTGTGCCGAAGCAGCCGGCATGCGCTGCTACTTTCTGCCTCGTGGGAATTTAGGGGGTGGTGAGGGGAGAAGAGGGGCGAGAAAGAAGATAAATATCGCACCTCGCTGCTCCCCCTGGCAGGAAAAGATAGGAACTGGAATCCGAAGAGCCAAGACGAAGCTGGGCGAAGAGCAGCCGCAGACACTGAACGCAAGCAAAGATGAAGTTGAGCGTAGCTACGATCTCAGCTTTGGCTACTCTGGCCACCGCGGTTCCCCACAGGCGGAACAGTGCACAGTGGGATCAAGTTCGCTCCAATGTAGGTTTGGACCTTTGCTCCCGGTTTTCCTGAGTCTCCTGCAGCCATCTGATTGACTTGGGGGGCAGATCAAACATGTTATCTACCTGATGTTGGAGAACCACTCCTTCGACAACATTGCGGGCTACTGGGACTTTCACCCGGACATTGACAACTTGCGCAACATCGACTACTGCAACGAGTACACGAACCCCAACTGGACGGTCTGGGGTGAACCTCTGAACGTCTGCGCGGCCCCATTTGAGACCGAGGTACCCCTGACTGACCCGGACCACAATTTCGCGGGTGTCACCTACGAGATCTTCCGCAAGTGGAACGTCACCAAGGATGATGTTCCCAACATGGGTGGATTCATTGAGCGTCAGTCGGAGAAGTACAGTGCTACGCCCGGTGAATCCAGCTTCGTCATCAAGGCGTACGACCAGAAGAAAACGGCGACTCTGGCGGAAGTTGCCCAGAACTTCGCCTTCTGGGATAGCTATGTGAGTCTTCTGCAAAGCGTCTTGCCTGTCTAGATGTACTAAACGGGCAACAGCACGCGGAGCACCCTGGCCCTACCAACCCCAACCGTCAGTTTGCTACTTCGGGCTCCACCTGTGGTATGGTGGATAACACTTACCAATCTGCTGGATGGTATGCCAACTACACGGGTACCACGTGTGCCACCTCAATCTTCGAGTCGCTCAGTCAGAAGAATATCACTTGGAAGAACGTGAGCTATAACCGTCCGATGTGTACATGGACATCAACTAAGCTTATGTCTTCTTCCAGTACTACGAGACCGACATTGTCGATGCTTTCATGTACAAGGTAATGCTATTTTCCCGCAGTCACTTCATATTCGCATACTTACCGCTCTCTAGTGGGTGCAAGACAATGCCATGGACCGCCTGGTTCACTCCGACCAGTTCTACCGTGACCTTGAGGAGGGCACTCTCCCGCAGTTCTCCTACTACAACCCGGAGTGCTGCACCATCGACTCCATGCACCCGACCAGCAACATGGCCTCGGGCGAGCAGCTGATCAAGCATCTGTACGATGCGGTGCGCAGGTCGAAGTACTGGGACAATGTGTAAGGACCCCAATTATCTTCCATGGCCTTCCCAGCACTGACAGCGACAATTCGATTTAGTCTGATTGTCCTCAACTTCGACGAACACGGTGGTTTCGCCGACCACGTCCCCACCCCTGTCAATATTCCCCAGCCCGAGGATGGCATTACTTTCTCCGGCGTGTCGGACGGCCACAACGTAACCTACGATTACACTCGATTGGGTGTTCGGTAAGCCCACCTTTTACAGTCCTCCTTCATCCCCTCATTACCACTGTGAGTTGGCTAACTCGGAGGAATAACGATAGTGTCCCCGCGTTCCTCATCTCCCCATGGGTCCCCGCCAACCACCTGATCCACGACCAAGGGACAAGCTACGCTAACAACTCGGCGTACACCCACACCTCGATCCTGCACTTCCTGCAGGAGCTGTGGAACCTGGACGGGCTCAACAACCGGGTGCAGTGGGCCAAGACCTTCGAGTACCTCTTCACCGACACCAAGCGGGAGGACACCCCGGAGAAGCTGACGACGCCGACCTGGTACGGGGGCAGCAACGAGCCCAAGCCGGACCCGTTCTACAAGTTGAACCAGGATTACGACTATTATGAGAATATGTAAATACGAGCAGAAGGATGACGGCCAAAAAGACTACACGGCGGGTATGAATGGGGTTTAGAGCCAATTCCAAATAAATATTCATGTTATCTTCGACTCAGTGTATCATAACGATCATATCTCGTTAACGCCCTTGCCCTCCTTTCGGGCGAGAAAGGGTAGCAAGGGTCAACATAATGCATACATCATCCACCCTTCCCTAATACAAGGCAAGGTAAAGCACAGCATACCCATTTTAGAGTACAAAACCGCGATGCTGTTATTCATGTTGTTGCTCGCTCAAAAATCACGACAGCACCTCTTCTTTTCCTGCTGCTGCTGCTGCTGCTGCTCCCTCCAACCCCTCATCCGCCTCGCCAGGGCAGTCAGTCACTTCCGCTTACTACTTTCGGCGACCCGACTCTCCTGCCCCCAATTCGTAGGCTTGGTCATATCCCAGAAGCGACTCTTGTACGCGGGGAACGAGGTGTGATTCCACATGTTGACGAGGATGCTGTCCGCCGCCGCCACCACCAAGAGCTCGTTAGCCAGGGGATTCTTTTTGGGGAAAAAAACACGCTATCCAGGTGGTTGGAACGGGGAGAAAGGAAAGGAAAGAACACAAACCTCTGACTCCGATCCACATACTCCTCCTCCTTGACCTCGCGGACGCCCACCTTCATCCCCTCGCGGGTGACCAGGACGTTCTTGCCTTCCATCTTGGAGCGCGTGTGGCGCGAGATGTCCTGGACGATGGAGTAGGCGACGTAGCCGATGCCGGCGAGGACGAGGAGGACGCCCAGGAGGATGAAGAGGGGGGTGAGGCGGGCGGTCATTTTTTTATTTATTTTTTATAAGGGGAGGCGGACTGGACTGGACTGCGGTGTGATGTGAGGGGTCCGATCGCTTGGATGATGGGAATGCTTTTCCCTGGTGGGTTGAGGGGTTTTGATGTGTAAATAAATGAGGGTCAAATATGGATGGATGTGATGTGATGTACTGTTGTACTCTGGCTGGTAACGGTGTGATGCAGTGTAAGGTGTCTTGTCGACTGTTGGTGAGAGGAGAGAGAAAATGCGTAGGGCTGGTTTTGCGATCGTGAAATGGGTCGATGGGTGACGAGTGATGTAATAATCAATCCCCAATCACTTTGTTCTCTGTTAGGCCGATCAACCGGTTCGTCTCGGTAGGTCTAGCCGTGGGCCGGGAGGAGTGGGTGGAATCGTTAGCTATCAAGGTACAGTACTCCGTACTCGGGAGAAGTATGTCTTGAATAGGTAGAGTGTGAGAATATTGTATGTGGGAGAAAAAATGGACCCCCGAGTAAGCCTTTATATACACATGAAAAAAAAAATGCATGGGGAACTGCACCGGTCCTACGGTTCTTGCCTCCAATTCTGTCCCAAATAATAACTTATGCGCCCTGTAGGGCCAACCACCGGTCGCTGCCAAGCCTCGCGCCAAGCGCTGGGGAAATTCTGGTGCCTGGATTTCCGGCTTCATTTTTTGGGGGTTTTCCTCTACAGGTGCAAGGCGCAGTTCATTCTGGAATAGATGGAAATGAATTGTGTTTATTTTTGGTATCTTGGATGTTGCACAATCTCTTTTACTGAAGTAATGATTGGGAAAGAGGCGGAGTGACCGGGTTGGTTCGTTGCTTACTACGGTGCGTTTTGTTGATTGAGGGGGAGGGAGGGGGCCAAATGTGGTGACCTCGGAGATAAATCAGGAGGGGTGAGGGGGCTGACTTGGGCATTGTATCCGTGTGGATTGTTTGTTGCCTATCGACTGAGATTATCCGCTTCAGCCTGTTCTCCCTCCCTTGTGCAGTTCAGACACGGTAACTGTTTTATCAATGACTGGGATCTATGCATAGACTGCTGCACTAAATCCATGGCTGCTTTGCTAGAACTGCTTGTTGTTCTGTGTGCTGAGGCAAGCATCATTTATGCACATTGCACCGGTCCAGATACAGTCTACAGAAGCTTGAGATTGCAAGTCAGGATCATGCAGCGACGTCTCATGAATTGCATCAATACATACCTGATCTGGCGAAGCACACGGTCGACGGGATCGCAACTTCGCCTGATGTATACTACGCTTTCTCGCTTGTGATGAGAGAGAGAGAGAGAGAGAGAGAGAGAGAGAGAGAGAGAGACCAGTAGCCCGCGCAAGACCAGAATACCTGATCAGATGCTAAGCATCTTTTCCTCGCTATCTACTTGCGTGAAGAGTGGTTCTGTTTGGGGTTGAGCCGGCTGCGCGGAGCTGTACCTGGTGGTTCCGGGGCGGGGGGGCCTGATATGATTCTATGGGAGACGATTTTGTGGGGTGTGGCTTGCGACCATAATCAACATGCTAGCATGTCAACATGGACCCTGAGAGGCGTTAGGGTTGTAGGTATGGCTCGCAGGCGAATGCGGGTTTTTTTTGCATGTACGGAGTAGAACTACTAACTACACAGTGTTGACGGTCCAGGATGGAGTCCCAACTTGTGTGTATACTATACATTGTGTGTACACATTCATGTACAAGAAGGTCTAAAGACTCATAAGAACGACACTTACTAGACAAACTTGCGACTAGCAATCGGATTGTTCGGAAGGATGGGCATGCAAGGTACAGTAAGGTCCAAATCGGCCACCTCCAGGAAATAACATCATTGACTAGCGGAGAGCAACCACCACTAGGTACAGTACAGTACTCCTAAGCACCACAAATACGATTCTTCAACAACAGCCCTGCGAAATCAGATAATATCCAACTAGATACAGCTTGATTGCCACATACAAATCAAAATCAATCGGTAATACACCCAATGCTACCTCAAATTCCATGATTTCAATGCAACAACCCCAGACTGTCGTCATAATGAATCATGCTTTCCGCATTACCTCACTACCACGACCGCACCACACACAGCAGCAGCAGCAGCAACAACACACAGCAACGCATCACCACAAGCAAGGCTAACTAAACTAGAACCTGCACAGGTTGCAACCGCGCCAATCAGGTCCAGTATCGTAATGTACACAGCCAGCACAAGAAATAATACTTACGACCAAGCGCATCCCCATCCACCGCAACCTCACCCAATCCACCTCTTTTCCTCATCCCCCGTCTCTCCAGGCACCACCCCTCTCCCTCCCACACCAGACACAAAAGATAAAGGCCACGAAGAAAAATGTGCGACGTCCCCTTCTTCCCCATCCTCCCGATCTGCTTCCAATGCGGCACCGACCAGAACCCCTGCCGCTGTAAAGTCGTCGGGCCAACCTTAGGTATATCCCTACTCCGTATCCTGTCCCAGAAAACCAATTCGGTGGTGTTTGGGCTCCGTTTCGCTGACTGGATTGATCCTGTTCCGTGGGGGCTTAGGATTTATCTGTACGGTTGTAGCTGCTGTATGTGTCTCCTCCCTTTTCTTCTTCGCATCGTTGGGCTCTAGTTGTATCTGGAGAGAGAGAGAGAGTCAGTTCGATGGGGAGGCTACGCATAGAGATTCTAATTAAGCTCCAATACAGGTGGTCTGCTACCCTGCATCGATCTTCTGCGGGTGTTGTTTGACGAAGACGGGGAAGGAGTATGTGCCTCTTCTATTGAGACGAACTCTCCGAGGGAAGATAATAGTGGGCTAACCGGTTCAATTCAGTGTGCTGGGGTATCCGGTCAAGGTGAATGGGATCGTTAGCAATGCCATACCGATATAGGTATCATGCTTCACCCAGGGCTGAGGTTGGTTGGAGGGGTTCATGATAGAAGTGGATGGGCGATGCTAATCATAATTAATAATATATTCACTTGAACATCATATCTGATGTACTTCATATTGGACTATACTGAGTGAAGGTGAGGAATGTTCATCAAAGCATAAATCATGGAATTGATTCGTGATACGTAACCATAAGCCTACCTAAAATACCTAAGGCAGCGAACGAATGGAAGGAAAATCACACAACACAAAAGGTATCCAGACGATAATCACAGAAGCATGAAGAACGAAAATAGAAATCTTCCACCCATTATACACCATTAGTTAAAAGCCAGCCCATCCAGAGGCTGACTAAGCTCAGTCATTAATTAATGTATTCAATGCTTCAACTTCTCCTTGAGGCGGGAGAAGAATCCCTTCTTCTTTTTCTTCGGCTCTTCCTTGCTGGAATTGGCAGCTGCGCCAGCTGCAGCGTTGTTGGTGGTCTTGTTGGCGGGAGTAGTGGTGTTGTTGGTGCTGGTAGGAGCATCGGTCTTCTGAGCGGGCGTAGATGCATCCTTGTTGGTGTTTGCGGTAGCCGGAGTTGAATCGGACGTCTTGGTAGCGCTAGCGCCAGTAGCACCAGCAGTTGGGGTAGACGCCACGTCCGCCTTGTTGGACTTGCTGGGTTCGGCAAGCTGCTTGGGCTCTGAGGGTTTGTTGGTCTCCAAGTCGTCGGCGGTTTTAGTCGCGCTGGAGCCCGTGATGCCAGCAGTAGGGCCGGAAGCTGAAGCATCGCCAGCCGCAGAGGTTGATCCGACATCGACGGCTGAGTCTGCTGTCTTGGTGGCACTGGAGCCAGTCACACCTGCAGTAGGGGCAGCGGCAGAAGAGTCCTCGGCTGAGCCGGGGCCGGACTGCTTCGGGGTCTTCGCAGAATCGACGCCCGTGGTAACAATTGGCTCACTTGGGTCATAGACCTTAGGAGACAGTTGGTTGGAGGTGGCTACAGCACCGGCAGCAGGAACAGAGGAAGAAGCACCGTGGATAGGGCCAGGTCCAGATTCCTTTGGAGCCTTCGCAGAATCGACACCTGTGGTCACCACTGGTCCATCGACTGGTCCCTTCGCGTTAGAGGATTGCTGGTCCGTAGGCTCAGCACCAGTAGCACGGGGAGCAGTCTCCGCAGTAGCGGCACTCAGAGCAGGCGCTGGGGCGCCAACAGAATTGTTCACGCTGATTTTCTGCTGAAGCTCTTCTTCCACTTCCTTCTTCTCCTCGACGACCTCCTCGTTAGCAGCCCATTCGGGATGTTGGTGGGCCTTCTCGAGGGACTCCTTGACCACGCCTGGAAGCTCCTCGGAGGGAGAACCACCGGTCGCCTGCTTCTGCTTCTGAGACTCAAGGGGCACTGCAGCAGCAAGTGCCGCCGTTGTCGACGTGGGCGCAGCCAACTGAATCGTATAGCCGGGGTCTCTGACATCGTGAGCGCCATCACTGCCCATAGGCAAGCTTGACTCAGGAATGGTGTTCTTCGTTACAGGGGGAAGGGAGAAAGCACTGCCATCCTGCAACGAATCTTCAGTGCGAGAAAGACTGGCGCCTTGCTCATACGCACCCTTGTCGAGACGTGCGGTGGACTGAACGGTGTTGGGGTTGAAAGTGCTGGGATCAGGCACCTTCTCACCTGGAGCCAACTTGATCGGGTTGCCAATGCCACTGGATGCAGGGATGGGATTCACGGAGAACTGTTCAGCCTCGCTCCCGGGAGTGATTGGAAAGGATCCTGGCACAGTAGCCCGTTGTTCCAATGGGACTTCCTGGCCGAGTTTGGCAGTTGTCGAGCCTGGTGCTGCTGACGAGATGGTGGGGTGATAGCCATTTGTCTTGCTGCTGGACTCCTTAGGCACCCCAGCTGCCAAAGCAGCGGTGGTTGAATCGGGGGTTACACCGGCCATGCCGTTCTGTAGTGGTGGTTGTTGGATTTGATCGGGGTAGAGCACGTTGTTGATGTTGTTGTCGCCGTCGTCTTCTTCGGGGACGCGATTATCAGTGGTCCAGATACCGTCGACGACGAACTTTAATCACGAGAATAAAAGAAACAAAGTCAGTTAGTGGATCTCCTGATGGCGCAAACCAACGATT